ACGGATCATCGGAAGTCTATGAAGACAGTCCCTGAAGTAATTGGGAGTATTTAAAATGGGAGATGAAGAAAGCTGTTGTTCATCTACATAGCTGGAGCAGTACTGCAAAGGCTAGGACAGTAGGTTAGGAGTTACCAGGGTATAGTTTGGCTAAGGAGGTGGAATTTTATTCTAAAAGTTGTAGAGTGTCCTTGGGAGGTTTAGTAAAGCAAGAGGGCAATATGATGAGGTTCATCTTTTCAATTAAAGGATTTTTTTATCATGGAAGGTGGTGCTATACCGGGGACTTATTTATTAAGGTAGGCACTGGTTAGTAGTGATTTGTTAAGAAAATTCATCAAGCTATATGCTTATATATGTAGTTTTCTGTGTATATTATACATACATCAGTAAAAAAATTTGTAAGAAAAAATCATTCTGTCATCAGTAAAGGGTAAGATGGGTACAACCAGGATAAGACTGGGAGTAGGTAGCTCAGTTGGAAAGCAGTTGCTGTAATTCAGATGTGAAATGAAGAGCTGAAGATGGTAGCTGTGAGGGTGAGGAAGTAAGCTAAAGAATAATAAATTCAAAGGTATGTAGAAGGCCAATACCTTCTTCTAAGATGCCTTTCTGGACACCCACATACACACATCGAGGGTGGTTTACATGGCCCTCCTAAGAGCTTCCAAATATATACACTTTTCAGAATATTCTGGGTCAAGAATTGTAACTCTTTTATTCATGACTCCATCCATAGCATTGAATCTAGTAGTAGTATTCATTATCTCAAGGAATACTCACTGAATAAATGAATTCTCTTAATGTATTATGAAAATTATCTGTCAGTATCTGTTCCTCTCTAGAAGATGGGCAGGTATAAAGAGATTTCAGCTATGTGAATTACTTGCTGTGAATTTAAAATTCCGTGTAATTTTCAGGCATTGTGGGGGCACATCTGTAATCCTAGCTCTTGTGAGATAGAGATAGGAGGATTATAAATTCAAGGCCAAGCTAGTCTATGTAGGAAGTTTGAGACCAGCCTATACTACATAGTGAGATTCTGTCCCCCTGCAAAAAAAAATCACAGTAGAACTCTTGTGGTAATCATTATAGAGTCTTCATCAAAGTTGGCTGTTCTTTGGGGCCTAACTTGGACCAGGAGATCTTCCCCCCCCCAACACTATGTAGTTCAGACTGGAACTCACTATGTAGCCCAGGCTGGTCTCAGACTCACAGCAATCCTCCTGCCTCAGCGTCTGAGTGATAGAATTATAGGCATGCACCACCACGTCATGAAATCACTATGGTCCAGGAATGTGGCCTCTTTTTAGTTCCTCTGGCGCTAAGGGTAGAATCAGCC